GGACAATTGCAGACACCTATGTAAAATGGATCTTTTCCTTGGCTTGCGCTTCTAGTTTTTCGAATAACATCATTTTTAACTTTTAGGATACACGGAGGAAGTGGTAAATCACATACTACCGTTTTATTAACTATCAATGTTGATGGTACCTGTTTTCCACCTTATATTATTTACAAATCATTAAGATTATATGATCGATGGTGCCCGAAGAATGTTATATCTGGGGCTGTTTTTAATGATACCGATTCCGGTTGGATAGATGAAAATTGTTTTTATGATTATCTTTCAAAATTATTTATTCTGAAAACACGTCACATTCCTGGTCCATTATTACTAATTCTTGATAATCACTCCATACATCTGTCCATCAAAACAGCAAAACTAGCTATTCAAAATCATATACGCATATTATATTTGCCTCCTCATGCGACACAACAAACAACTTGATAGATCTGATTTCGTTAAATTATTTTCAAAACTTTATGATTATGCATTATTACCTGTCCATTGTGCTCCATCATTTTCAAAATCTGGAATTTATCCTTATGATCCACAAATTATTCGAAAAGACAAATTGATTAATAATGAAGTTGATGCATCAGTAACCACAATAAATGCAACTTGTCTTACTCGATCATTATCTGTTGAATTTAATGATCCACCTCAATCACAGTATTCAACATCAGCTATTGCAACAACTATTAAACAAAAAAAATAGCAAAATGTTCATCTGCTCCAATTTTAAGTTCAGATAACTAAAATTTAGCTATTTCTGAGTCTGACAGTTTAATTCGGGTCATGTACTTACTTTCCAGCAGAAGAGACCCTCAACTCAAGTTTTGATAAGGGTCTATTTACTCAACATAACACAAATTTTTCACAACAAATGACAACTACATTTGACAGTATGCAAGCTGTCATTCATCGATTGAATGATATTATACAGCAAACTGAGCAACTAGCAATGGAATCAACTGACTTCAATGAATCATCAATTTTTGTTATGAGTTCATCCGATGTTCCGTCAACTTGATCAACAACTGAACCAATAGGTGTGTCGTCCTTATCGAGTTCGATTGAAAAAAGTACAGCCATTTTTTTATTTTAATGAATATTATTTTTATTTTTTCTGCAGAAAAGAATCCGTTGTCAGCTATCGAAAAGATGATTGAAAAGTTCTTTACTAAAACAAAAAAAATTACTAATAAAAAACATCTTTTATCTCGAGAATTTGGCATCAGCGTGACCGATCTCGACAAATTAGCATTAAATAGCATCAAAAAGAAAAAAACAAAAATCAATAAAACGACAACAACAAAAAAGAGAAAAATGTTCAAGATCCAAAAAACAGCCGAAAATCCTTTCAATACATTCAATTCAGAACATAAAAACCAATTATCCAATGATGAACGTCCAATCCAAACCATAAACCAGTCAGTTGATAATTCCATCATTTACTCAAACAACAATATTACCCATGTAAAAATAAATCAAGAAAAAACGGTATTTTAATCGATTTTTTTGTGATTAAAAATCGATTAAAATGAGACGATTTTAATCAGATCTCTTGCCTTTTATTCGATTACTTTTGATTTTAATCAGTTTTAATCGATTATAATTAATTATTCTTGTTTTAATGGATTTTAATTGATTACTTAATTTTTAATCCTTTTTAATCACGATTAACCAAAGAATGCGTAAGCACAGATCGTTGTCATCTCGCGAATTCAGGGATGTCTGACCGAGGTTGGTTTGACGCTGTACCTACTATTTGTCGACGCGAGGAGTCAGAAAAAGCAAAAAAAAGCTATGATTTCTGGGCTAGAACTCGAGAAAAACGCAGTTTTTCGTTAACGCGATTAAAACTGATTAAAATCCCGTTTTTTCTTGATTTATTTTTACATGGGTACAAACAATACAAAATTTGACCACAATGAATATGTTGCAATGTCATCAATGTTCTCGAGATTTATCACCATGGGAATCATTGAATAATTGTGGTCAATGTAACACTTTTATCTGTTGGCAATGTAACACTTTTATCTGTTGGCAATGTATTGGTTTTAGCGATGGTTCAAGTTTTATTTGTTATGCTTGCCGAACGAAGAACCTATTACAACAATATTCTCAACGACAAATATAATCGCTGAAATAACAAAAAAATATATTGAAAATCTTAATTTTTCACTTGTTCTTTGAAACATTGTCAAATCCTTCATGAATTTGTTATGAACTTGTGTTTTACATGTTTCCTTTTTTTATCTATCTGTATCATACTGGTACTTATGCGTTTGTTATGAATAATAAATGAACGGCCAATTAGCCTGTGAATAAACATTTTTCTTCAAGATAATTGTAATTTCATAAGTCTCACTCAGAGAATTCCGCCCAATAAATCATATATTCAAAAATTTATTTGTTGTTAATATTTATTATGAACTCAAAAAAAGTGATAATTGATCTACATTAGTAAAAATTAATATTTTATATATTTTGATCACAAGAAATTTTGAATAGCACCTACAGATTTATCAAAAACTGATTTACATCATATTTGAACATTTCAGCCATTTTACATAGGTGTCTGTAATTGTCT